AAGGAACTGATATTTCAATGTGATATGGGCACAAGCCCAGTTTTCTAAGAAATTAGACCTCAAATCCATTAACTATTATTAGTAGTATTGACGAGAGTTTCTTTCCTAACATTTCGTTTAAGGTAGTGCAGAAAGTTAATATCTATATTATGCCATTATATTTCTCATGTGCTATTCATTTTATTTGTTGTAAATGCTGGAAGTCTTAAAGCAATGTCGTTTTTGTCATTTGATAAAGTTATTTTTGATTCTGTAACACCAGGGAGACATAGTAAAGTAATGGATAACGGCTCAGATTAAGGAATCGGAGAGCTGAGTTCAAATTCCAGTCAAATCCATTACATTCACTTACATGCTAATACCTTTGGGAAAGGTATGAATCCTCTTTTTCTCCCCTCAGCTATGGGTAAATAGCAGGACAGACCAGATTCTATAGCCTTGGATGGCAACTGATCTACCGCAGAACGAAATGGCAACCTACTGTGGGAAAAATCTGCCTCGTCAGTTATGTATTGAAAGATACATGATTGCCTACGCGTGTATCACACATGGCACAGGACTGGTTGTATATACAAAAAATAACAACTAAATCTACATCCTCTACCAAGTATTCCAAGAAGTCAGACTCTAGATACATCTTTCCAAAACAGAAACTATGATCTGAATTGGAATGAAAGCAGTGATGGCACCCACCTTAAATCCATTATTCTACTGTGCTTCCTTACACATAATACAGTATAGAAGAAAGAGACAATGGCAAAAAAGTAATGCTAATCAGCTGAATTGATCAGAATTGATCATAAACCATTAGATGTTTAAGAACCCTTTTCCCAGACAACATCTCTACTCATCATGATAGAAAAGAAAAAAAAAAAAAAAAAAAGAGAAATAGGGGTCATGGGCAGTAAAAACCAAGAGAAGCAAACAGTCTTGTGAAAGTGTAGATGACCAACACACACACACACACACACACACTAGAAACCCAGTATAACTGATTGGGTAACTTACAGCGAATTCTGAACTGAGCCCTTAATTTAATCTACAGGGAGTAGACTGTTCTCATTCCACTGCCCATGTCTAGGGATATCTCATCTAGTTCTTATTGTTATTTAGTATTCAGTTCAGTTATTGCTTGCCTCTCTCTACACTGCCCAACTCAGGGATTAGCGATTGAACTCACAACTACTATGCCACTAAATTCACAAACAAATACTTTAATTCACTATGCCATTGTTTTGTGGTAGATTAAAGTGCTGGTCCATGAATTCCTTGTAGGTTGCCCAGATCAATATACACCTGATGAAGGCTGGAGATCACAACAGTTGAAATACTGTGATAGCAACAACAAAGATCAGGACAATAGTCCTAATATAAAAAGTGTAAATAGTATTTCTTTCATCTAATTTCTCTTGCTTTTATAACTAATAATTATAAAATGAAAGCATTAAAATTATTTAAAAATGTGTTTCTTGGGACCTTTTTTTTTTTTTTTTTTAATAAAGTCTGTGACGGTACCTACTTTTTACTCTTTTTTTTACTTTTATTTTTTTTGCTTAGACTCAAAGTAATAATAGTCTCAACTCATTTAAATCTCAGTGATAGAACAATTATCATTTTTTATTAATTTCTGAAATTGTCTCAATACAGAACAATGTGTGTCAACAGAATTCAAGAGGCAATTATCATGTGATTTCAATCTTTAATGACTGCTCCACACTTGCATTCTTGTACCAAGGTCAGTAAATAACTATAAGACTGGAGTATAAGTCATGGAGTAATGGTTAACAAGATAGCCATCTATGATTACTATTACTGTAGTAAATTTGATTCTGAAACCAGGTAGTAAAGGAAAGCAAGAGGAAAGGAATAACTATTAACGGTACGAAGACAGAATGTATTGTTGTCAACAAAAGAAACAGTCCAAAGTGTAAGCTACCTAATGGTTACATCAAAATCAAGCAGGTGGAGAGATTTAACTCTCTGGGTTGCATCAAAACAGAGAATGGGGCACATGAATCCAAAAGTACCTCGGAAGAACAAAAAGTGTCTTCCAGAGGCTGAACAAAATACTGTCTTACAGCCATATCCCCAAAGTTAAGCAACATCAAACCAGGTCAGTACCTTGATGGGTGACCACTTCAGAATACCAGGTGCTGTAAGCTTGAATGTGCAGGTGATATAATAGATAATGGCTTGGAATTGTTAATTGAAGAGCCAAGTTACTATTCTAGTCAGGTTTATTATATTCAATTACACACAATCTTCTCCCAATTATGGGCTTAATTAGTAAGTCTTGTATTACTAAATTATTATCTCAAAAAAAAAAAAAAAAAAAAAAAAAAAAAAATTATTACAATCTCTATAATAAACGTCAGTGTGTCACACATTTTCAACTTTACTCCTAGAGGCCACAGCCCAACATATCATACCATTTTGGAATCAGGCTGATCCTGTGATCTAATTAAAAACATTCCAAGCCAGATCCAGACTGGCAATCCTGAAATTGAAATTTTCATTACTGCAATTGTTTTCTGTGACTTTTTATTTTTTTTATTTTGCAACAATTTTTTTTGTACAATTTTCATAATTTAGAAATAAATTTGGGAATAATCAAAATTAATTGCAAAATCCAGCCATGAAATAAAAATAATTGTTTGTATGGAAAGTAAGGACCTACATACATCAAACTGTCTTTAAATTAAGCAGCAGCAGTAGAATTAGCATTGAACTTTTAAAAAGTAAACTTAAATACTGATGCAATACTTAAATGCAATGATCAATTTTGAGTTCTTCTGTAGATTGTTGTTGATTATAACATCTACCCCTTCTTACCTATTGTGATGAAGGCCCAATCAAGAGCTCTCTGCAGGAGTGAGCTTAAATGCTGCTCGATAGTGAAGCTTTTAAGCTAGTCTAAAAATATTTTCTGGCTTTAAATAACCTACAAAAGGTTGATAAGTCGTAAAAAAAAAAAAAAAAATCAATCAAAATGCCATCAGAAACAAAGAAAAGACTTATGCAATATCCCGATCTCCTATACAGCAGTGAATGCTGGACAACCTCCACACTGATGAGAACACAGCAGTAATGGGTTACTTCCAAGGTAATCTTTATACAAATTCTACCTAAATATCATGGATAGATCATGTGAGCAACAAGGAAGTTTTAAGAAACAAACATACTGAAAATCAGAAAGAGTTGAAATTTCTAGGATGCATAATGAAGAAAAAGGACCTAGAAAACTCAACACTCATAGGATGTATTGAAAAGAAGAGAAGCGGTAGGGAGAACAATGAATTACCTTAATGAATATGTATATAAATTGATGGCAAAACCTGAACAATGAGAGGAGGTCAGTCAAAGAAGAGTTACTTTGAATAACAAGAAATTGTTGAGAACCATGATCTTCTGAAAGGAAATGGTGCATATAACTAACAAGTAAATCCGCTTCTTACTCAGTACTCCATACTTGTAGCCTATCTTAAACTCTACTTAGTAATACTTATGATGATGATGATGATGCTGTGTGTTTTGCAAATCAACATCCAGTCCTTCATCATAAAAAAAAAAAAAAAAAATTGTTGTAACTTTTTTTTTTTTTACAACCAGATATCCTTCAGGATGCCATAGAAAGAAGAAAAAGATCATGTTTCTAGACAAAGAGGTTAATCTATTTATCTACTTAAAAAAGGGGGGGATCACAAGAAAAGGTGGAATTAAAAAAAAAAAAAAAAGAGCAAGACGTGCAAGTCATATCATTTCTAAAAGAAAATAAAAGACTGCACTCGATAACACTATAAATACACACGTGTGTGTAATAAAATGATACAATAGAAGAAGAAGAAGAATAGGTAAGATATAGATATACAAACACACACAAATTCAAAACTACAAACGAAAAAAGAAAACCCTGTTAACTTTTGCACCTGGTTACATAAAAAACGATCAATAGTGAAGAAAAAAAAAAGCCAAACATTTTTAGAGAGAGAGAGGAAAAAAAAAAAAAAAAAAAAAAAGACAAACATTTTTTAAATAACTCGACCGGCGACTTAGATGAGAAATAAAAATAGATAAAAAAAATCATAAAAACAAATTTTATCTGCCCAGGAGACGTTATTTTTTTTCTTTTTTGCATCATAAACTGACGAAAACATTGCCTCTACCCGCAATCTCCAAATATTTTCGCGGGACAAATTTTAAAAGCTTTGGGAAGTCTTGCTAATTGATAATTTTTATGTCCGCGATATTTTGTCACCCATTCCGAAAAAATCGTAAAGCTAAACTAAAGCAAATGATGATGATGATGTTTATTATTATTATTATTATTATGTTGCTGCCGCTAGTGATGAATAAGAAAAAATTAAAAGAACCTTAAAGGAAGGGGATATTTTGCGGCTTGCCGGTAAATATTTTTTATATTATTTATGAAGGCAGGTAATTTTAAAAATAACAACACATGGAGATTTAACATAAGTTTATTTATTTTTACCTTCAATTATTAAGACAATTTTTAAAATCTCTGCAAATCCAAAATATGCCCTTGGGTATTGTTCTCTTGCCAATAGACTTCAGGCGACCGCACTGAAGACAATATAGTCACAGACGACACAATCCATGTTGTTCAAGTCTTGCCTACACTGCTTGCACAACCACTGTGTTGACAATCTCAATAAACATATTCTTAGTTCTAAAACATCACTTATATTTACCGGCAAAATAACCTTGGTGTCTGTTTTACCGGGACCGGCAAAAAAAGCCTATTTCGTTACATTCTTTTTTTTTTTTTTTTTTAACTGCACAATCCAGATTCCTTGTTAGAAAGTTCAGCACATGAGATCCATTGGAACTTTTAGAAAGAAACGACACCGAATTCAGGGGAGAAGGCTGGATTTGGTAGAAGGATAGGTAGTGCAGAAATTCTATTATTTGGTTTTATTTTGGAAAGCGGGTTGGAGCGAGAGTTTTCAATAAACATCCCTTTGAAGTAAACAAGAATTTACAGGTGCTGTTTTCGGGCTGAAGGAAAATGAAAAGTGAGGTAACTTCGTCGATATCGCCAGAGAACGGAAAACTCAAAAAAAAAAAAAAGTGGGGGTGATGACATTCATCACAGGTCTGAGAACAGTTCCGAAAATAAGGGAAATGAAATGGAACTGAAAATTAGAGGAGGAATTGAATTGGAACCAACCAAGTGACAACATAGTTGACAACAGCTGGAATCGTGAGGGGTCTTGCTGTTACTTAATTTCTGGTGTAACATACCGAGTACGAATTTATGAAACATGTTAAGGAGCTGCTACCTTCTAAAATATATTATATTTGAATGAGCGTATAATATTTTAGGTAGCAGTCCTTCGTTTATATATATTTCACCAGTAATAAAACGGATAAGGAAATTATGTGTAAATCATTACACACAATTGAATTCGAAACTGTAATGTTTAAAGTTTAATCGACCAAAAAGAGATTTCCCTCCAAACTGAAGTTTTAGTTAGATTTTAATTTCTTTAAAAATGAATTATTTTGAATGGAACTACCTATAAGATTATGAGAGAGAGAGAGAGAGAGAGAGAGAGAGTATATATATAGAGAGAGTATAGAGAGAGAAAGAAAAAAAATTTTTTTTTTCTTTTTTGCTGATTCAATTCGCTGGGGGAAAAAGTTTCCAAATGACTTTTTTTTTTTTTCAAAACATAATGTACGACGTATATTGCTTTTCACTTCTTCCTCTAAAAACGAATTTCATTTTGTTTTTGTTTTTTGGACAACATTCGTCTAAATTGGTTTAATGTAAAGAAAGCGGGGCTTGTTTTATAGACCTGGAAGCCCTTTAAGCAGTTGGTCGCGAAGAGTAAACGGGGGTTGAAAAGAAGGCAGATAAATATATTTCAGTTTCACTAGTTAGAAAATCTGAAAGCATTTCGCTTTGCGTCCCGTTTACGTACACGGTCGCCTGCCGTTGCATAAGTTCTCAAGTTCGTCTTCTTACGGGCCAATTAAATTCGTTAGCGGAATTTACTAATCTTCCCACCGAAATGGGATGTGGCACGAGGCCCTTTTTCTCGTATGGGTAACTGCAAAAAATAAAAAAAGAATTTAAAAAAATGCTTCGGCTCTATCTGCATTTTGTCAGGAGTCAGAGACGAGCCTTTACTCTTAGTTTATTTTATGACGATGAGGAAGTACTGCCTGGTAAACGAATCTCTAGGAATTAGGCAGTTAATTCGTTTTTAATTTTAAGGTCTGTAACAGGAAAGTATTAAAAATTCGATACTATTCTCACTGTGTTTTCCACTCTTGTGGATTTTCCTCAGAATGCCAAGCAATTGGCAGCCAAATGTATACGAATTGTAGATTGTACGTAAGACGACCCAATTTATTTAGACACAAGACCAAAATAAATGCATACAAGGGGGCAGGAAATTTTAGCGTCTTTTTTACGAGAAAAAATGCATTGATTGATTTGGAAAACCTTCAAAAAAAATAAAAATAAAAAATAAAAAAAAATAAAATAAAAAACATAAAAATAATCAAATAATTGTGGAATTTTAATGATATTTTCAATACTTATCCATAAATAATAAATTAAATTATTTTATAATTTTTTTTTTTTTTTTTTTAGAAAATCTTGATATACTTAATTTTATGAAATTAAATTTTGTAGAGCTTAATTTTATAACTCATTGGAGAATTTAAATCAATTTCTTTTTAAAAAAAAAAAAAAAAAAAAAAAGAAAGAAAAGACCCCCCCCCATTTACCGAAAATCTGCTCTGAATCGTAAAATAAAAAAATGCTATAAAACTATGACATTAGAAAAGATTTTAATTTCTTTTATGAATAACATATGGACACTATTGTCTTAGGAAAAACTTAATGAATTTTTACAAAAATTCTTTTCATTTTTTTTTTTTTTTTTTATTATAATAATTTATAAATTTATAAATCTTTTAAAATTATATCTTACTTTGTAAAGGTTAGGTGATACTATTAAGTAAAAATTATATTTACTAATCATAAATGAAAAAGCTTAGTACAATTTTACTGATTCCCAATATTTTTAAAAAGAATTTTTTTTTTCATTTTCTTTGTGTAAAAACAGGCCGATTTTTGTAAATACAGTTGTTCATGCACAACATTATCAGAAAATAAGAGCGATAATTATAGTAAATAAAGCCAAAGTAAATATTATAAAATTCAGTAAGAACATTAGATTATGGAGAATATTTTCCTAAATTTTCAAGATTACTGGGTAGTAAAAACAATTATATAAAAAGATGCTCATGTTATATTAAAGTAAATTTTTACAGATATGTCCACCGTAGAAAAACATTAAAACAACAGAGTTAAATCAAGGTTAATAAACTAAATTATTTTATTGTTGAGCGAGTTTTGAAACTGGTTAGCTAACCAGTTTTTCATTTTTACTTTTTATCATCATGAATGGTAATAATAAAATTAATTTTTGTCTTTTTATGGCAGTTATAAAGTTTTGTACCACTAAACATATATATATATATATATATATATATATATATATATATATATATATATATATATATATTAGTTAAAATAATATGCACTCATAAAAAAAAAAAAAAAAAAATATAAGAATTATTCTTACAATCCAAAATGTTTTGGCTTTAAATAACCTACCAAGGTTTGATAAGTCGTAAAAAAAAAAAAATAAATCAATTATCAGATAGGTATTTTTTTTATTGTATATTGTTGGTGTTACCTGGAAACGTACAGTAATTCTTACAATTTCAATTACTTTTAGACTTTATATACACTGTAATATCACAGGGTGATATTAAATGCAATGGTTAATTGCTCGGAATGAGAAATCAGCAAGCAGAATCTGAATAGAATTCAAATTCATTACACACACTTTCATGCAAATACACTTCTTCCCTCAACAATAGTTAAATAGTAGGGTAGACTGGGTTCTTCATCTTTGGTAAGCCGCGAGCCAAAAAGAAGTTCAATTCTGAATTTAAGATCAATTGCGTATGGGGCATGCAAACCCATCCCATAAAAACCTACTTACTATTGAAACCACAGCAGCATCACCCACTGTATTGAGACCGTGGCCCCATGTTCCACATTGAAGGGTATGGCACATGAGGGAGAATATCTTTAATTTTCTGTTTTTTTTAGAATCAACTGCATTTGAACCTGGCATAGCAAAATTTCAGCTTTTTTTAAAAATCACTTTTCACAACTCTACTACAGCTAACTTAGTTTTAGTCATTCTTTGGAGTATTCACCTGATCGTACTACTAAAGTATGATGACCAAAAATGGCAAAATATATCATGCTATGCTTTTAGTTATACTTACATGATGGAAGCCCATTTAAATTTACAAGCACCTCATGACAGTTCAAATATCAAAAATGAGAAAGCCTGGTATTTTTCACAATGGCAAAAATATATTCCTGATATTAACACACCATTATATGGGCACAGTGGAGTAATGGATAGTGGCTCAGATTGAGGAATCGGAGAGTTAGGTTCAAATTCCAGTCAAATCTATTACATTCATTTACATGCTAATACCCTGGGGAAAGGCATGAATCTTTTCCTTCTCCTCCCATATATGGGTAAATAGCAGGACAGACCTGTTTCTACAGCCTTGGATGGCATCTATTCTACCACAGAAAAATATATGATTGCCTAAGCATATATCATACATGGCACATAACTGACTGGCTGATTGTATGATTATATAAATAAATAATCTCTTGAGGGTATAGTATTAAAAACTGCTTGCCTTAAAAGCATTAACCTCCAAAAATATACAGATCAGTCATAGTTTTTGACAAAACACAATCTTTATATATATATATATATATATATATATATATACACACACACACACACACACAAAAGAGATATGCATTCAAAGCCACCCTACATAAAAATGTGTTGAAAACAAATCTTACAAGAGAGAGGACATGAAAATCAGGAAGAAAGGGATTGTCAGTGGTCGTGAATAAATCAAGGGCAACTGATAGAATAGGGCTATTACGTGTATAATACAAATGAATTGTAAATGATTTTATTGTAAAAGTGCATTGAAAATCTAAAAGAAAGGGATTGTCAGTGGCCAGTAGTAAATGCAAACGTTATTGACAGAATAGGGCTATTATATGTATAATAAGCTAATTCCTAATTGCTGGGTGGGGGAATATGGAGGAGGGTATTTTTTTTTTAATTCCCTGGATTATAAATGGAAATTACCTGCTTTAATTTACATAAAAATTAAAGATTAATAATTTTCAGTTTTCAAATATCAAGAATAAAAGACACCATTTCATAAAATGCATACAAAAATTACACAAGCTGAATTTTTTTTTTGGGGGGGGGTCTATGTATATAAAAAGAGAGTGTGTGTGTATAATATAGCAACTACTGCTGACTTGGGGTTGGCAGTGGTGATGCTGCTTCTGATAGCTAGTGGTATTGTCAATTGTTACTCAACTACAACTGCAATAACAATGGGTCCTTAGGTGCCCAAAGAATAAAAAAAAAAATCTACAGGGACTACTGGGAACAGAGAATAAAAAGATTCTTTATTCTATTGTTAAAAATCCCAGCAGATGGTTGGTCAGAATGATTCTCTTTCCCTACCCTGTTAGCACCTAGATTCTTTTTCATTTAATTTTTAAGCTTTCTTTAAAAAAAAAAAAAAAAACAACAAAACACACCTTTTCTTTTTACACCTGCTGGTTTTTATTTTGACAAATGAAAAAAAAAGAAAAAAGAAAAGAAAAAAAGAAATAAAAAAAAGAAAAAAAAAGAAAGAGGGGGGGTCTAAAAATCTCTATAAACACAAATTTTATGAGATAACTACGGTGTGTACAGAGTGTGAAATTGCAAACCATAAACAGAGGTATCTGCTCACTGACTTAAGATAAATTATCATATATTTATACATATATGTATCAAGTTTTGCATCAAAAGACTGATTGCTGCAGTCTGAGGTATGAACACCAATCATGTCTATATAATAAATAAAAGTGCCTTCTAAAAAAGACAATACGGTGAGGGATTGGTATACACAGTTCCTTTAGTTTTTTTTCTTTTATCACTTAAAGTAGCAAAGGTTGTAATCAACCATTCTCAGTCTGGAATGGCCACCATTTGTTTAACTATGAAGATATTTGTATTTACATAATACTATAACATTAAAGTCGGGACCTCTGCAAAAAAAAAAAAAAGAAAAAAAAAAAAAAAATGATACTTAAGTCTTAAAATTAATTTTTAAAAATGAAAAATCTTTCTTGAAGCTTTTATTATAGTTTTAATTTCAAGCTAATAAATTAAATTTAATATTTCCAATAAGGAAAATACTTTGCTGCATTTCAAAAACTAATTTTAAATTAACTGGAAGGATTTTTTTCTTTTTTTTTTTTTTTTTTTTGCTATAATAAAAACTGAAGAGCACCCTTTTTTAATCCTCCTTCAATGCAATGTAATTCACCTTATTAAAAAAATCTTCCAAAAATAAAATATTCTCCTCTGAAAAATTTATTTGAGGAGTATTAAAGTCCAATTTGAAACAAATATTATTTACCTTAAATTTAAAATATTGGAGAAATGCATTTTTTAATCCAACAGTAGCTGTGTTAACAACCTGATGACAAATCTAATGTTGTTCTATGGGCAAAAAACAATAATAGTAATAGCTGGCCATTTGTGTTTATTCAACACCCACATAGCCAACCTGTATACTGCAACTATGCTGAGCAGACCATAGTTACAGTTTCTGGGAGATAATATTTTATCTAGAATGATCAACAATCTGAACAAGACCAGCACACTCAAACCTTGTGATTCTGTGTTAGCCCAGCTACCAGCGGCTGGCTAGGATTCAATCCATGGCATGGTACTTTCCAAAGGTGCTGCACGCTGGGATCACCCTCTCCAGTCCGATAACATCAGGAAAAAAATATTTAAAATTTACTATAGTCATCAGTCTTATTTTCTGATAAATTTGTATATTGGCACCTGTAATTACCAAAAAAAAAAAAAAAAAAAAAAAAAAAAAAAAAAAAAACGGGCACATACAAAAAAATTCTAAATTCTTTTAAAAATATTGGTGTTTGATGATTTGCATTAAGCTTTTCCTTTTATGATTAGTAAATATAGTTTTCACTTGATATATAATATAGTCTAAAAGGCTGAAATTAATACAGAATTCTAAAAAAAAATTTCTTTAAAATTTTTAAGAAATGCAAGCAATTCTTGTTAAAATTCATTATTCATTGAAAAAAATGTTAAAACAAAAGTGTCCTTCTCAATATATATTATCTATAAAATCAATTAAAAGCTTTCCTAATTAAATAATGCACACTTTTATTGCATATTTTAGAGCAGATTTTCGGTAAATGGTGTTAGTGCTTGACAAAAACAAATTGATGATTTAATTTCTCCAGGTCTTGCTTTTTAACCAATATAAATATGGAGAGGCTGAAATTTTAATTTCTTGAAATTTCATAAAATTTATTAAGTGGGGTTAACAGATGTAAAAAAAAAATTTCAAAAATAATCTAATTAATTTGTGAATAAGTCCTGAAAATTTCATTAAAATCCAACAATTATTTGATTTTTGCAAGAATTTTTAAAATGATGTGTTTTTAACACACACACAAAAAAAAAAAAAAAAAAAAAAAAAAAAAAACTAAAATTTCCAATGCTAATCTTTGGCCCACCCACTGACATAAGAAAAATGATGTTTTTAACCAAAATTTCAAATGTACTAAAATGGATTAAAAATTTAATTTAAATAATAAAAAATACTTTGTCCTTTCTTCTTAATAATAACAAACCTTTTGACAATAAAACTTTGTTTTTATCAGTTTGAGGCTTTTTTTTCATCATGGTATGCTCCATTTTTAGAGGTATCTGAATTAAAGTTTTATTTATTTGAACTGTAATGCCTGTCCTCCACTAAATTGCACTTGATGCCTATCAACTGCCAACTAGTTATACACTTTTAGCCTTCAGCTTAACATGACTTCTACTAAATCTCATGCCATGAAGGCATTGAGCCCATGAAAGCCAGCTTGTCTCTCCAGCTCTCAGAGTTTTGGTAGAGTGTCAGAACATCCTCCAGCAACAGATTAATCTGTTGGAAGCCCTGGTGAACAATATCTTCACAGTGGCTGCATGGTCCTCTGTGAGGTCATCACCAGCTTGCAGATGGTTAGTTGAACTGGTAAATGACTCTGGTAGAGGAGTCATCAAGTTATTGCAGGACATTACCGAGTCAGTGAACACAGCAATGGTGTAAAAGATTTTCCACTGGCTGATCATCTGGCAGAGCTCCTTATTGGACACAAGATTGGACCAGTGCACTCTCTTAATGGTTGTGAGGGTATAAGAATCAAAGCCATTGATATGGAAAGTAAGGGTCTTGCTGAGAGACCACATCTGTAGCACTGCAAGCTCATAGCTTGGTGCATCAAATATCATGACACCACCATAGTGGTCTCCAGAGATCTCTCATGACACTTGCAGCCAGCCAACATCCTCTGTTGATCTCTGTGAGGATGTCACTAATGTTAGAAGCTTCTGAGCCCAAATATACAAAAGACTGAACTAGCTAAAACCCAGGGAAACAGCAAATGACAACTGTATGAAAATAAAGATGCATCTAATTGGGCCAGAAAGAAAATAAATATATTAGCATGAGTGGGTAGGAAAGGTAATACATTTAGGAATTATGCAAGCAACTGCATTTTAACCAAACAGACTAGTGGTACATACACAGACCAAAATCAATCTGTCCAAGAGAATGAAACCTGAAATATACAAAGAGTTTGAGATGCAAACAGATCACCCAAACCAGGCCAGGGGAGTGTATCCGTCAATGTTAAATTGTGGCTTTCATTTTTTCAGCAGACCACAAAGTAGATAAAAAAAATAAATAAATAAAACAAAGTGAAACGAGCTAAGGAAGTTGTGAAATGTGAAGGTGCTGGTTATCAGAGCACTAGGGACAGTTAAAAAAAAAAAAATATGGAAAAACAGGAAATTAAGAGACGAGTCAACAAAATGGCTGAGAAGACTTGCTGTCACTTAATCTTCAATGGAAGCCACCAATAATGGTGTGACCATGCAAATAGTGAATACAGTCTGACCTCTTTAACCAGGCATTCTTAAGATCAGGCCACAGAAAGTGCCAGGTGACAAAAATCACCCATAAAAAAAAAAAAAAAAAAATCTTATATAAACATAACCTTGTGTGAGTGAGTGAGAGAGAGAATAAAGACAAAAGGAAAACATCTTAGCTGATATGTTTTGCCCTCAAGGCAAATGTAAGTATTTTTATTTTGTAACAAGTATTTATATACAAGAGCAAAAATGTTACTGGTTTTTCAGAAGTTTTAGGTATCAGCTAAGATAAGTTTTCCTTTTGTCTTTATTCATATTCTCCTTTTACAGATATACTCTACCTGAAATTTTTGCACACACACATTATATATATATATATAAAAACTGATGTCCTCTCTAATTTCTTCAGTAATTGCACCTTTTCAAGTATAGATAAATATTTATGCTTACACTTTTAACCTCTATCACCATCATCTGCACCTCTTGGAATGCTCAAAAATGTATCATCAAAACAATCTGTTGCAGAAAGTTGTAAACAGCTGAATAGCATAAATAATGTTATGCCGGGCTACAAAAAAAAAAGAAAACCTATGTAAATATAGTCTTGCCAGCTCATTCCACATATATATTGTTGCATTACTGAAGGTAAAACAAAGCTTAAAACAGGAAATATGACAATCATTAATGCTTCCAAACAAGGTTTTTCTTGCTTCATGCAATACGAAGGATAAAAAAATATAAAACAAACCCTAAAAACAAAAAATAATAAATACTTACTATACAGAATTGGTAAATATGCAGCTATTAAAAATGAAACTGTATCACTAAAACACACTGCTGCTGTATGTTGATTAAAAAAAAAGTACTAGACCATGGGAGTTGGCAGACAACATAGTGGTCTGTAGCTTAAATAAGTCTATTGCTGCAACGTCACTTGTACAAATCACAATATCGCTGGTTCAATTCACTGTCTTCACTTTCTTCACACATCACTACCTATAGCCAACATTTCTATCCCCTTTTTCACGGCTCCAGCACTCTTTTATCAGGCCAACACCGCGGTTCCCCAGCCAATCAGCGTTCTTGACTAACGCAGGTTATTCTCAGTTACACAGGCAAATTGTTCCCTCCAGTTCGACCAATCAGCACACAACTTGCTATTTTCCTAAGCATTCCAAACTGTACAAAAAACCCTCATCATTGCACATAAAATGCTAGAATGGCTGGACGGGAGAGTAATGCCATTTTCATGAAGCAAACTTGCTGATGTCAATTCAATAAAGTTAAGGTAAGATCCTTATTTTCCTATACGTCAGATGCAAAAGTCACTCTGGCTCCTTGCTTCTTATCAGGGCTGTTCACCACATGGTCACACTACATATAGTGTAATCATAGAGATGTGTATATGAAATAAGCTCTGGAATATATGTCTATAAAAATGAAAATACTTTTGACATTAAATATACAATATTCATATTGATAATGGTGGTGCCATTTTAAATAATATACAAGAAATAATCTTTAGAACAAAGATCTATAAATGCAAAAATACATTTGATGTGACCTAATATATAATAATAACATAGGAGAATGTATCTTATTCCTATCACTTCCAATCAAACAGGAAATTAACCTTGGGGCAACCATCCATATAAAAACAAAAATACTGTAAATATTTAAAGCTTATAATAGAAAAGGCACAACAAAATATTGTTAGTGTTATGATATATATCACCTTGAGTTCAAACTGTAATAACTTAAGTCAGTATAAATTGGATGGTTCCATTATATACTTTTCTATACTTTATAACCCCTTTCAGCTGTAGAATGGAATCTTCTGATTTTCACACAGTTAAGCATCTCTAGAGACACCATCCCTTCTTGATGGCCATTGAAGGCTTGTGGTATATATATATATATATATATATATATATATATATATATATATATATAAAGAATGTATAAACATAAAAATGTCTTTATACAGTGCTGTTCGATAAAAGTGACTCAAAAAAAATTACTAAATGTTCTCTTCTCCGATGAAACGAAAGTTGAGCTAAATTCAAAGGATAAGCGATCTAAAATCCGAAGAAGCTTTGAAAGCTCTTTGAATTTAGCAGTAAGTACTGTCAAGCATCTGTTCAGTATAATGTTCTGGGGATGCCTTTCTTTTCATGGAACTGGTTTCTTAAAACCTATTGAAAAGACCCTCAGTGAGCAGTAGAAGAGAATTTTAGAGTCTTGTCTGCTCCCTTCTGTTGAAAGGGTGCAAATCGACCCCCACCAAGCTCATTTTTATGCAGGATAATGCTCCCTGTCACAAATCAAAATTGATCAAGGAATACTTTGATGAGAAGCAGGTGAATGTTATGACATGGCCGCCCCAATCTCCTGACCTCAACCCCATAGAAAACTTATGGAGCATTATAAAGTACAGGCTCTCGAGAAAGCAGTTGAGCAACAAAGAGGATTTGATTGTGAATTTCATATCCGAATGGAATTCAATGCTTGGAGATGAGATTTGCCAGAACCTAATCAAGTCAATGCCAAAAAGGTTTGAAAAGGTTATTCAAAATAAAAGGAGGACCCATAGATTATTAAATATTTCGAACTATATTACCTATTATAAATAAATTATACCTCTATTATTCTTTATTTAAAGCTATTCAGTTATGTTTCTATAGATTACTAGTTGCAGGAAATAAGTGAGTCACTTTTTTTGTACAGTTTTTTTTTCCCTAAATCTCAAAAATTATAATCATCAATAGAATACCTTAGGGTGAGTAAACTTTTTTACTAGGTGGTCGGGAAGGGGTCCTTATATTAGTAAGATTAAAAATTAGTTTAACCCCAAAAACAATAGGCAAAAAGAATTTTTAAGTAAAAAAAAAAATCAGGTGAGTCATTTTTATCGAATAGCACTGTGTGTGTGTGTTTTGTCCGTTGACTCCTATAAGAAGTTCATCCGCCCTTTGACAGGCCATGTTTTTCGTCCTTTGGGGCGACATTTCATCCCTCTCACCAGCAGAAAAGCTAGTGGGGGAGCTGGTTTAGATACCAACCACACGGCCATGCGGCAAGTAAGTTGTATTGAGTTACATGTTACCAGTAGCAGATCTAAACCTAACCTGACCCTAAAATAAATAAATAAATAAATAGAAATCAATATTTTCCGATTCTGTCAAATGGTATGGGTTTAGAAAGGTCAATGCCATGTTTTTCAACATTTTTTTTATCTCACGGCACACTTAAGTTAAAGCACAATGATGAGTACAAATGAAAAAAAGAGTACTTTTTAAATTATGATTTTAACGCAAACAAAATGATTTGTTATATAATTTGTAATAAGATAATTCAAATTCTTTAATAGAAAATAAACATTTATTCGTTAAATTTAACAACATTAAGGACATTTTATAATATCTTCTTGAAAGATCGAATTTTGGACAGGCATACTCTTCTTCTTACTCTTTATCTTCTTCCAGCCATTTTTTCAGCCTTGACTGATTTTGATTTTTATTGCAGAAAACTATGCTTCGCGCAAATAATTTAATTTTGAAAATCACTGGTCTAATGAATGCTAATCTACACAAAAATTATTTCCAAAATAAAATGTTTCCCTGATTTTTTTTTTACGAGTTGTATAATTTAAGTAGTACCGAAAAATTAATTTTTTTTCTCCTGAATATTCATGGCTGAAAATGAAAAATAAGACTTTTTTTAAACACTACTAGCCACGCAAATAAAGTAAAAAAGAATTTAAAAAAAAAAAGATGAAGGAGATACATAAGTATCGCCTTATTTTTGACATTTCTTTCTTTAGCATTTTTCATTTGTCAACGAAAGAAAAATAAACGGTCGTTTTTGCTAAGAATTCTTCCACTAACCGAACGTAAATCTTCGGTTTATTCTAAAGACCCACTTGAAGACAGTCAGAATGGAATTTCTTGTAGTGTAAAAGTAAAACAATCATCACGAAAATGTCAACTACTCTCACCTTGATAAAACTAAAAACACGTTTTTAAAATAATAACCATTACAATACATTAACTCATTAACAATATGAACCCAACTAAATGTGTGTATTTTTTTCCCTTCCTTGTCACGGCTTTCTTTGAAACCTAAATGTTATCCTGAATAAAATAAACTAGGCAATGAAGAAGATTTTTAACTACTAACAGCCAAAAAAGCAGATAATTAATGCACATTAATTATTTTCTCGCAAGGCATTTTTTACTACGCCGGTCTGCTTAAAAAACTAAAAGTCTAATTTTTATAAGAAAAAACGCCACCCGAAAAGCAACGAGAAACGACACAAAAGTATCAAATTAAAAAATAAAACGACGAACAAACAAAATTATAAAACAAAACCGCCAAACTAAAAAAGTAAAAGTTTGAAGGCAATATGACGAGGAAAACGAAACGGGATTAAAGACAAAGACGTAGAAAAATGTCTACACGACTTCAGTTATCATTCATAATCATGACCATATAAGGAAAATTTACTACAAATACTTACTCGCACAACATGAAGCGTCGAACATTTAAAAAAAAAATAAAATAAAAAACGTCTATATTTCTCGCATTAATCTTGCCATGAAATTCATTACAGATCGATTCCTTTCGAGTATATTTGTAAGGTGGAAATAAAAAAAAAATTCCGCTGTGTTTTTAATATTACAGCAGCGGGTCTGGGAAGATGGTTGGGAACAGTTCAAACAAACAAATTCAATCAAAATTGTTAGCTGCTTAAAAGTGGAGCACTCAGTAAAAATATTTATGAAAAAAAAAAAAAAAAAATCAAACTCACTCCACTCGTAAAAAGATATCTGAAAATAGCGAGTTAACCAACAAAGTTATTTTTTACGTTTAGTACACTACAAAAGTCGTGTACTTAGTGAGAATCAAGCTGAAAACAAAATTTAGTTGGCGCAAACTTAATAATACAGTTTTTTGTTTTTAACTTAAAAACAAAAAAAATTTAAGATTGGATACGGCCTTCACATTATTAACAATTTCTATTCTGAGGAAATATAAAAATGAAAAAGTGTGTTGTTAATAATGATCGATTCTTTTTCTTTATTATCGATGAATTGCCATTTTTTTGTCAAAGATATTAGAATGGTTTCCAGTTGCCTTCTCCGGGGTTTTGAATTCACACTCACAGTTCTTATATTGGTTACCAGTTACCAGTACCACTCAAGGCTAGAGGGACTCTGCCCTGCCATTTAACTCCTTGATTGTTTGAATGAATTCACGTCTTTCCAATGACATTTAGTTGAAAGCGAACGCAACAAACTCGAAAGGATCTTGAACTCAGTTTGCCATTTCTATTTTCCGCATCAATAACTGTTACACCACCGGCACATAACAGTTGTTAATCTTTAATCCCGGTTGTTTGTTACTTCTTATGCATATTTATCCCACCACACCAAAATAAAAATACTTATTTTGTTTAAAAATTGTATATTAAT